CAATCCTGGTTCCTGGGGCACCTAGTGGGGAGCCCTGTGGTGGCCTCAGACCCTCTCCGTCCTGGCTGTCCACGTAGCCTCTGCAGTCAAGGGCAGGCGGCAGGCAGACGCAACCTGTTTGTCATCTCTGGGCCCGAGTCACCCCAAGCCCCGCAGGGCAGGCGCACTTCTGGTGCCTGTCTGCGGCTCCTCCTTGGCGCTGGTGGTGCCAGGCTCACCTCGTTGCTGACCACCACATGGATGCCCGTGGGTCCCTGCCGGTAGACTCGGTGGATGTGCTGCGGGGAGATACTGTACAGGTTGGCAATCTTCTCAACCAGCTCCAAGGCGGTCAGCTCCTCCAGGAAGATGGCGTGGTACACTGGAGGATGGGGGACAGGTCCATCTATAGAACAGGTGTCCCCTCTACGGGCCTGCCTGCTCTCCACCCCCCACCCCTCAAAATCAGTAACTCGCGCGCAAGGCTGTCCAAGCCCAGACTGACTCGTGGGACAGAGCTATGCCGGGCACACGTCCAGAAGCCCCAGGGTCCCCGAGCAGCCATCACTGGGAAAAGATGTCAGGTCATGCCCCTACTCTCGCTTCTGTCTCTTGGGGGACTCATGCAAAGTGCAGAATCCCTGGGTCCACACGGACCTGATGACACCTAGCTGGGGTGGAGGCTAGAGGGGGACCAGCTGGCAGAAATCTGCCTTCGTACAAGCTTTCAGGGACCCCGATGTGCACCCCACCATGAACCCCACTGCAGGTGGGAGAATAAGAACCCTGGGGCTTCATTCCTTTCCTTCCATCATTTATAGGGGTTACTGGATGGCTCCGGGTGGCCAAGAGACTTACAGACAATTCCACCTGACAGCAGGGGTGGGGGCCCCTCCCCCACAGTATAGACAGGGCTCAGCTGGAGCACTGCGACCCCCAGGGGGAAGGGGTGCGCCAGGAGTGTCTGCAGCCAGTCTGAAGATATCAGTGAGCCAGGGCTGGAGAGCCTTCCTTATACAAAACCAAACCAGCCGGAGGTGGGGGGCCACCTGGGGGACACCACAGGGCTCTGGGGCCTATAGTTCCTCAGGAGTAAAACACAAATGAATTCACCTAAAGACCCCAAACTTCCCCCTCAACTAAGGGAGGAACTTTGGTTCAAACAAATCTAATCAGCGGCTCACGTTTTTATACGCGCACATACATGCACACACACGCAGTGGCTCCCTCTGAAAGGGGGTGGCAGAGGCCACAGGGCTCCAGCCACACAGCCTCACCTTCCCGGGACTTAGCAGAGGCTGACCCATGCCCGAATTGGCTCAGAGAACGTGGCTGCTGGGTCACGTTCCTTCCAGTGTTAACACCAGGTAAGACTCCCAGGCCTCTTCCCCAAGATTCCTTTTTACAACAAAATTCTTTTTTTTTGCGGGGGGGGCGGGTGTAATTAGATTTATTTGTTTGTTTTAATGGAGGTACTGGGGATGAACCTAGGACCTCGTGCATGCTAAGCACGTGCTCTACCCCCGAGCTACACCCTCCCCCTACAACAGAAATCTAAGTGTACACCCTCCGCAACCCCACTTGTCAGAGCCAGTCCTAATTCTCATTTTGCTCCTCAGACAGATCAGAGTGCGGGCCACAGAGCAGGATCCCCGGCTGGCCCTCTGTTGTGACCCTCCTGTCCCAGCTGAATGTGGGGCCACCAGGGCCACTCGGTCGGCCCAGCCCAGATCTCCTCTCACTGGGGCCCCATGGGGGGGCAGTGTGGGGAAACAGGAGGCCCTGGTGGGGAGGGGTCCCCGCCACCCACCACATAGACTGGGGTCCCCGCTGCCATCCCGCTTCTGCTGCAGGGACGCCCGGCTCTGCTCCAGCTCCTGGCAGACGTAAAGGGTCATCTTCGGCCTCACGCTCCTGGAGGGGAGGAAACAGACAGCAGGTGTGGGGACAGAGCTCCGGGGTCTGCAATGTCTCGTAGCGCAGGGTGGAAACAGCAGCAGGGCCTCAGGAGGAAAGAAAAGAGGCCGCAGGGACACAGAGCGCCTCTCACAGGGGAAAAAGCCCCATCCAGGCCGACCTCTACGGCCTCACGAGGGCTAGCTGAAGGCAGAGATGCACGACTTCCGAGCCCCACAACCCGCCCAGAGTGGGCTCGGCTCAGGGCACCCGCTCAGGGCAGGAGGCATTTCTCAGAGTGGGAATAAGCCTGTCCCCTCCTGCACTTGCCCCCAGGAGCCCTGTCCCCACTGGCCAGCCCGCAGGGTGTCCAAGAGGCCGAGATGCAGGCCACCTGCCTCCAGTGGGAACCCACCTGCCTTTGATGGCGTTGAAGAGCCGGATTCCGTCTGCAGGGCCGCAGATCTGCACCAAATCCTCGCGAGACATCTTCAGCAGGTCGGCACCTGGGCAGGTAAATGGGGCCGCCTGTGACCAGGGGCATGAGGAAAAGGCTGCACCCCAAACACCTACAGCCCCACGGCAGGGGAGAGCCAGCCTCACCCTCTAGGGGCATCAGATGAACCACAGACAGAACAGCAAGAGATAAACAGCATCAGAACATCACAGTCCAGGAGACGTTAGGCGCTGAACAGTGGTGCTCACAAACCCGGCAGATTCGAAGGCACTTTCAGAAGCCAGGGCCCTCCCCGCCCGGCCCTCCCCACACCGTGATCCTGCGCAGATCTTCCCAGCACGTGGCACTGTCTGCAGGCGGGAGCTCACAGCTCATGATGCTGTGGTGTGGAGAGCACCCAGCACCCACGGCCCCTCGTGTCAGCCCCTCCTCCGCCCCAGGGAACCGCTGTCCTGACCTCCCCCACGCAGGGGAGCTCGGCTCGCTTTTGGAACTTATGTAAATGCAACTGCACAGCATGCACCTCTCTGAGTCTGGCTCCCTCCCCCCAAGTTCTGTAAAGGGGCTCATCCGTGTTGTGTGTAGGTCAAAACCATGCGTGCCCGTCAGCGAGTACTACATGCTGCGTGAGGAAAGCACGATTCCTGCGCCCCCTGCTCTGCTGAGGGGTGTCCAGGGTGCTCGCCGTCTGGGGCTGTTAAGCGTCTTGTGAACATCCTAGCACGTGGGGCCCCCTCCTCAAAGCCCAAGGAGACCCCCGGAGCCTTCCACCCACGTGGACTCTCCAAGGTACAAAGATGATCAGCTTTCTGCCGAAAACCTGCCCATAGCCAGGTGGCCAGTGTCCACCAGTGTCCACCCTGATCCCGCACTGTTGAGATATAGTTTTGGTTACAATTCTGCAGGCACCGTGGTGCTCCCTCTGCAGGGAGTAAAGACCGGAGTCCACGTGCTGTCCCACCAGGGCCCTGGTGTCTCTCTGGCCTCACCTGGGCCCCCTGCTCCATCTACACCAGGCAGGCCCCCACCTCGCGGCCTCTGCATTTGCCATCTGCCAGGAAAGCTCATGCCCCCGGACCCATTTGGCTCGCTCCCTCCTTCGAGGCTTTGCTCTGGGACACCTTCCCAGGAAGGCCTCCCCACTCTAAGGTGGCGGG